AACTTTCTTATGACTAGAGTAATACCATATATATTCTTTTCTTGTCCTGCTTTTTTTACTTGACATTGTATTTGTGAGATTCATCCATGTTTCTTCTTGTAACTGTAATTACTCATTTTTATTACTGTGTAGGAACCCATTGTGACTATTACTACAGTTTATTCTATTGTTTATAGTTAGAGGTTGTTATAAATCATGCTGCTTTGAACATTCTTATGCGTATATCCTAGTGTCCATATACACACATTTCTTTAAACATATTCAGAGTAGATAATGCCAAAATGTTTCCTAGAATGTTTATACTCTTAACCTACCCCATAGCAACCGGTACATATTTCTTTAATATTTCTCACAGATTCTTTTTCCTCTTCTTCCCCTTTGTCTCTTTTGTCTGCAAAACAGGTATGAAAAATGGTTAGAGATGGACTTAACAGACTGAACCAAAGAGAAGTTAACTAGCATAGAAAGGGGTAATTGAACCAAATTATGTGAGGCCCTGATATAAAAGCTTTAGCATTAGAAACCTGTTCTGGCAACCATGGATGCCAGGGACAATGGGGGAGGAGGATGGGACATAGCAGAGGGTGGGGGATGGGGAATCAAGGATGGCAAAACAAAAGGCAAGGTATGCAGGACATAAGAATTGGAAAATTATTTGCTGAGAACATGTATGTTGATGTGCTTGATTGAGCCAATGCACAGTGTATTTTGGATGGAAAATTCATTTGTGTGTTGTTATGGTGTATAGTGAATTAATGTAGAAAATGAATAAATTTTAAAAAATTAGATACATTTAAATTTTCTCAAAAAAAAAAAAAAAAAAAATTAACCTGTTATGGCATTTGTGTGCCAAAGATAATACAGGAGAGGACTTTTTTTCTTTTTTGAAACATGTTATTTGCCATCAGAACCAGTAAGTGAACTTAGTTGGCATTAGGTCCTCCCTTTATTTCACCTAGTCTATAATTTGTCAAATCAGAGCATTCATTTTCATAATTCATTGTTAATTAAATATTGGTATTTATTAGATTAAATGAAAGTAAAATTGTACATTTAAATGAAAGTAGAAATGTACATTTGAATTTAAAATGAAATTGGTAGAGTGCTTTCATTTATGAGAGGTCCTCAAAAAGTACATAGAAAATACATATAAAAAAAACTATACGTGAATTTCAAAAATATTTTTTGCACCAACATGAATTCAAACTTTAATTCTGTTTTTCCACAGACTTTTTTGACCCAACCCACTTCAATTTATACAATAAAATGCTATATCCATATCCTTCCATCTAAGCTCATGAAAAATCTCATTAGACAGGTAGAAAGACAAAGATGTTTACACTTAAATCTACAAAACACTGCATAAAGAAATTGAAGAAGGCATTTTTTGGGAACCAGCAGTTAGCGTAATGGCTATGTCGCTGGACTCCCACGTAGTCGACCACAGTTTGCGTCCCGGACCGGTGACTTAAAACACACGCCGGGCGCGTGTGCGTGCGTGCCCAAGATCCCAAGAGGAGAATGGAGGAGAAGGGATTGCGGCCTGGCCATCCCCCCTGGGGGGTGATTTCCTGCTTTCTATCTCTCTGTCTCTCTCTGTCTGTCTGGTGAGCACACGCGCCCTATAGCAAAAACCTCTCCAAAAAAAAAACCAAAACAAAATGATGGTTTCTCAAAAAATAAAAATATAATTACCTAATTGCTCTGGCTATGACTTATAGTTCTATTTTGAATAAAATTGGCAAGAGTGGGCATGCTTGTCTAGTTACTAAGCTCTCTTCAAACACATCAACCAATGGAATAGAATAAAGAGCCCAAAAATAAATCCATACATTTATGATCAGTTGATTTTTGACACAGTGCAAAGAAGACCCAATGGGGAATGGATAGTCTTTGGAATAAATGGTGTTGGGACAACAGGATAGAGAATGCACTTTTACAACACATACACAAGAATCAAATTCGATCCTTGTGACACCCCATATACAGTCAGCTCAAAATAGATTAAAGATTTAGACTAAGACTTGAAACTTTGAAACTACTACAAGGAATTAATTAGAGAAAAAGCTGCTAAACATTGATCAGGGCATTGATTTCTTGGATTTGACCTGAAACACATGGGAAAAGAAATTCCTCTTATATGTTACAACATGGCTGAATGTTGAAGACATGCTGCTAAGGTGAAATAATCCAATCGCAGAAGATAAATACTGCTTGCTTCTACTTATATGAGATATCTAAAATGGTAAAGTTTTAAAATAGAAATTAGAATGCTTGTTTCTAGAGACTAAGAAGAGAATAGAGAGAGTTGTTAAGTGGATGTAGAACCCAGTTGTGCAAGATGATAGAGATCTATTCCATGATGCTATGCCTATAATTAACACCATTGTACACTTCTACACTTCCAAATGGTTAAGATGTTAAATTTTGCTATGTGTTTTTGACCACAATAAAAAATTAACATAGCAGTCACAGAAAATAATGAATGATGTTAAGAAAAAGAATTTTTAAAAGAGAAATCCTGAATGTATTTTTTAAATTTCTCTATAAAATTACCTTTATTAACATTTCTTTCAGGGCTGGCTTAGTGGTTAAGGGAGCTAGATTCCATATGACTAACCATAGTTCAAATCTCAGCCCTAGTAGCTTGAAAACCATGGCAGGTGCACTTGTGTATATGCCCAAAATCCTGATAGGATGGAGAAATAGAAGAGAAGGGATTGCAGTGTATCCTTGCCCCATTGAAAGATGGGGTTTTTTTCCTCTCTCTTTGGCTCTCTGTTTCTCTCCGGTGAACCTATGTACCCTTTGGCAATTATTTCTTTGGGGGGACCAGCAGGTGTATTGGTGGTTAAGGTGCTGCTTTCCCACATGACCAATCACGGTTCGAGTCTCAAACTTGGAAATTTGAAAATCCTATCAGGGCAGGGGAACAGGGCAGCAGGTGGTGTGGTGGTTAAGGTGCTAGACTCCCACATGGCCAGCTGCTATTCAAATCCTGGACGTGATAGCTTGCTTTCTCCCTTTCTCTCTCCCTCTGGTGAGCATGCATGCCATGTAGCAAATTTTTAAAAATAATAATACAATAATGGTAAAATTAAATAAATTAATTCCAAAAAAAGAAGAAAAGAAAAGAAATCACACCAGGTGCTATTGCATGTGTGCCCCTAATCCCAGGAGCAGAATGGAAGAGAAGGGATTGTGGTATGGCCATCCCCACCAGGGGTGGCATATTTCTCACTTTTCCTCTCTGGTGAGTGCACGCATCCTATGGCAAAAACATAAACAACAACAACAAAAATTCTTTGGGGCCAGCAGGTGACATGGAGGTTAAGGCACTGGATCCCACCTGACCAACTGCATGGTTTGAGTTCCAGACCCAGCAACTTGAAAATCACTGCAGGCACGCTTGCATGTATGCTCAAAATCCCAAGGAGGGTAGAGGAGAAGGAATTGCGGCATGACCATTCCCTCTGAGTGATTTCTCACTTTCCCTCCCCATCTCTCACTGGTGAGCACACACATACCCTATAGCAAAACTTTAAAAAAAAAATGAATTTGTAGAGTATATAATGAAACTAGCAAAATCAAAAATTGCAAAGCTGTTTAAACTACTCAATGTTATCTCAGGAAAGCCTGTCTCCCCTATCACATACACATGAGCAAAATACATACCTCTTCCCACTGTGCTTGTGTGTATCTTCTTCTCTGAACCCAAGACAATATTGGAAAATACTTTAGAATATTATAATCCCAACTGTGAGAAGAAAAATAACTACTTTATTTCACTACAGCTTTTAACTTCACCTTAGAAAACCATGGACAAAAAAGTTCCCATAGTTGTGCTGACCTATTTCTTGCAGTGTCTCTTGACAAATCACAGGAAAGGAATGTGGTAGCAGAGATCTATCAACACATCAGGGTCTATAGATTATTATCCTTGTTTTAAAAAGGTCTTTAAATTTTATTAGTTGAGAAAAAATTGGTTAACTTTAGTAGAGTCCAAATGAGAAGAAATTTAGATGCAATGATACTCTTCTTACCAAAGAAGAATTGGAAATAAACTTTATCAATGTATAAATACAATTCCTATTTCTTCTTCAGCCATTACCTACCTTGTTTAGACTTTAGAAATATTGGGATTAAAGGTGAACTATTGGGTTGTTGGAAAAGACACAACACATTTTTTTTTTCATGTTTTTCTATGCAAAATTACATCATGACTTTCCAGATGACCTAGTGGTCAAAAAATAGTGGTTTGCTACTTTGTTTTTAAATTTAATATCCACTGATGAACTACATAATGTCTTAATGTTTGAAATATCTGTTTTGAGTCAAGTAATACTGTAGCTGTTAGTAGGTATAATTATACCTACTCTTACAGGTGTAAAAGGAAGATAGATTGTAGATAAACTGGCAAAGACAAAGATCAAGGTAGATGTGTAACAATATTTCTTAATATCTCATGTTGACCTGGATAAGATGAATTTTTCTTAATCTATTCTTTCATACTGTTTTTTAAAGCTAATGTATTTATTTTATGAGAGATAGCACCCCCGACAGGATCCTGATGATGTGATCTATGCCCTATGCCAGTCTTCAGCCATCCCCAGATTATGGGCAGACATGTGCCTGGCATCGTTAGGGAGGAATCCCTGGAACCGGGACTTTTCATTTTACTGCTGTGCCACTGTGTGGCCCCTCTTTTATTTTTTAAGAAAACATTTAAAATTATGACCATATGCTGATATAATATTAAAATTTTACCTTTATTATTGAAGAGACTAACATTTCATGTATTCTCAAAATATTTAAAGTACTTCCTTTTAGTGTAACTATATAATATTTTTCATAACAGAGCCATAACATTCTCCTTTTTGCCCTTCCAAAAGCACCATGATTATGAATTTTGGTAATAAACCTTGGTGACTTAAAGAAAGGATTGGGGTAAAACTTTCACTTACAGACATTAAACATGGGCATTTCTTTTTGGCTTCCAGATTTTGTACTTCTGCTGCTGATATGAAAATTAGGTTATTTACTTCAGATCTTCAAGATACAAATGAGTATAAGGTATGTTGACAAGAATATAGATCTTAGAATTTATTTTAAAGCATGCCTTTATTATTATTTGTTTTTTAATTGGTTTTATACCAACTTAAAATGACTTCTCATTATTGTTTTAGTTTGTTCTGTTACTAATAATAGAAATTATCTGTGTCTGGGTAATTTAAGAGGAAAGAGATTTATTAAGCTCATGGTTTGAAGTCACCAGGTTCAGGGACCACATCTGGTCAGGGTCTTCTGGCTGTGTCACAATGTGACAGAAGGCAGAAGAGCATGCATCTGTGTCCTTGTGTCTCTGTTCTGGCTTCATTCCCTTTTCTTATAAGCCTGCCGAGAGTTAATCACGGGCAATCCAATCTAATGACCTTAATCCTGATATTCTCCCAGAGGCATCACTTTTTAACACCATGTCAGATTACGTTTTCACCTTCTTAATCCTTTCGAGAAATGAATTTAAGGATATTCAAACCATGGCAGTGGTCATTTGAAGCCATTTAGGATCTCATTTACTCGGTTATAGGCTATTATAACCAGGTTCTTAGTAATGACTGCAGATTAGAAATCTGATACTTATAAAATGAAAACATTAGGATTATATCATGAAAAAGAGAAAGATGTGGTTTAGACATACCTATATAACTTTAACAAATCTAGGTCTTCCACAGGACAAACTGCATTAATATTATATACTCAATATGTATTATAAAGAGCATACTAACTTTCAATAGGTCTAAAGTTTATGTACTGTTTGTATGCCTATTCATGGCATAGCCTTAAATTCACCAATATGTTAATAACCTATAAGCCCACTATATATAGTTTATAGCATAACTTTTACTACTTTCTAAATAATTAGAAGTTTATAGTTTATCTGTTTTATAACATCATGTTTTTGCTTACTGAGAAGTAAAAAAGGCAATACCATCCATTCTTATAAGAAAATCTATGCAATTTTCACCCAGCCTGAAGACCATTACAGAAACTGAAGACACATATATAGGGGCTTAGCATGTACCAAGCATTGTTCTAAGTGTTTAATATGGTCAGTTTAGTCAGTGCTTGTAGTTTAGTGAGGCAGGTGCTTTGATTATTCCCATTTTGTAAACAAAATGAATACAAAGAGATCAGGTTAGTTGGCCAAGGTCACACTGTTACTAAGTGCTCCAGCTGGACTTTAAATGATTTCTGCTTGTAACCACTTTACAATCCTGTTGATGTTACATACTGTTATGTACTGACCAACTGTTGTACTGAAGCTTTAATCTACATGTGTTTATGTCATTACACTACTACTATGCCTAATTATTTTTAACTCTATTATTAACATCTTAAGTTTTTGTTTTTGTTTTGTTTTTTTAAAGACAGGGTCTCTCAGGTTGGCTCCATGGCCTGGTGGTTGAAGGAGTACCATATAGAGCCACCATATTAACGTTAGAACTCAGGGCAAGTTGGAGTTGTTGGAACGGAAGAAGGGAGGAAGAACGATATTTGTTAAACTATTTAAATATATAACATAGCTATTAGGTTGTCGGGAAAGTCATGCAGTATTTTCCTATGCAAAAATGTGTCATGACTTTTTGACAACCCAAAATTTAGGATTTGTAGCTAAAAAAGATTTAGACAAAGTGAACCTTGCCTACTCACATAGACCTCTAGCACCTTCTAATTTCTTTCTACTATGATGAAAGAGGATTTCTGTGTCGATTGTGACTGTGGGCTTACAGTACTGTCTTCAGTATTGGCCATCACATTGAGCAAGAAAATAAAAGCATTAGAAAGTAAAACTCATACTGTATGTGTTAGGTGTCATGGGTATACCGGGCAGTGGGTACAAGACAGAAAGCCTAGAGATACTCTATCTCACTAGTTTTTTTTTAGTCTTAATTTAAGCTGCTGCTTCTTCTTTTTTTTTTAAGTTTATGTAGTGAGAAAGGAGGTGATATGAGGACAGGTACAGTAAAAAAGTATGTATTTTTTTTTTAAGAACTAAAAAGTCTAAGCTAATAGTATGTTGAATGATCAACTTCTTTCCAAGATAAATCTTCCAGAAAAGTGGATATATAAATTATTCTTTAAAAATATCTGATTACTTAAGAAATATTTATGGAGAAGAGAAGCATGCGGTGAAAGCGTTTAAGGCAGTGGAGTAAAAATATTTGGTAGGAACATTGTAGGTTATTTCCCTCTTATCTCACCAAGTTTCCTCCTCCTTCCAGGTTTTAGAGGGCCATTCAGATTTCATTAATGGTTTGGTGTTTGATCCCAAAGAAGGCCAAGAAATTGCAAGTGTAAGTGATGATCATACCTGCAGGTATGTTGCTTATGTTACAGCTGCATTTTTAAATTTTCATTTTATTGTAATGAAATTAATTGTATTTTTTTAAAGTAGAGAAAATGTAACTCTTATATAAACTGCACAAAATGATGGAAAAGAAGCTTATTTTATTTAATTGTACGTAAGGCAAAAACATGAGTTTCAGAACTAGTGAATTCTAATCCCCATTCTTGAAAACTTCCCTTGCAGACCTATGAGTGTCTCTCTGGCTCTTGTTTTAAATTTGTACACTTCTAAAATTTAAATATATAAATTGGATCAAATTCTTCAGTACTGAGCAAGATCAAAAGGGTAATCAAACAAGTTAGCATATCATGAAGCTTACTTCACATTCTTTTGCAGTTAATATTAAATAATGAACAGTGAATCTTACTACATAAGACTATTGGAAATTTTACTATTTTGACAAAATCAAAAGCCCCTTTGTAAGGATTTCTTTTTAATCATGCCTAAAACTGAAGATTACAAGTAAGAATAAGATGCAGAGCAAGAGTAGGAGGTGGCAAGAGCTGAGGAGTCAGGAGTGAATGGGTAGTCAGCCATGAGAGGAGTGACAATTGATTAATCTGCTTTAACAATACTGTGAGCCGAAAACAAAAATACGCTGCTTTACTGTTTTCCATAGTTTTAGTGTTTCGTGAAGCTGTGTCAAAATCATTCATATTTATTACTATGTATATATGTAAGACTATTAAATATTTAACACTTCACATTGGAAGAAAAGCTGGTAGCTACTTTTTAATTTAAAAATGTATATATAAATAATTAGAAGCTCAGTAAAGAAATACAGAACTTGGACATTATTTAAAAAAAAAACAAAAAAACTAAACCTACCAGACATACAAAACACTCACAACATTGGAACAATATACATTTTCTCACATGCACATGAAATAGTCTTCTGAATAAACCATATGTTAGGTCTTTAAGCAAATCTCAGAATATTTTAAAAAATTGAAATTATACCAGATATCTTCTTAGACAGCAATGGAATAAAACTAGAAATCAGTTATGGAAGAAATACTGGAATACCTATAAACATAAGAAGATTAAAATATTGTACTCTTAAATAGCCAAAAGGTCAAAGAAGAAATTACCAGGGAAATTAGAAAATACTTTATGATAAATAAGAACAAAACACAACATACAAAACTTGTGTGGTACAACAAAATCAATGCTCTGAAACAAGTTTATAGCTATGAATACTTACATTAGAAAAAAAACAAGTCTCATGTTAGTATCCTAACTTTACACCTTATTTTTTTATATGAATTCTGCTTCTTTTTCAAACTAACTCCATTCTTTTCTTCTTCTTTTTTTTTTTTTTTTTTTTTGAGAGATTTTTGCTGTAGGGCATGTGCGCTCTCCAGAGAGACAGAAAGCGAGAAAATCAGCCCCCCAGGGGGAATGGCCATGCCGTAGTCCCTTCTCCTCCTTTCTCCTCTTGGAATCTTGAGCACACACGCGCACACACCTGACGTGAGTTTTAGCCATCAGCCCAGGACTCGAACCACAGTCGACTACATGGGAGTCCAGTGACATCGCCATTATGCTAACTGCTAGTCCCCTAACTTTACACCTTAAGGAATTTAAAATAAAAGGCAAACTAAATCCAAAGCTAATAAAGTTAAGGAAATGAAGATTAGAAGAAAGATAAACAAGATAGAGAGTTGGAACCAGCAGTTGGCGTAAGAGATATGTCGCTGGACTCTCACGAGTCGGCCACGGTTTGAGTCCCAGACCCAGTGGCTTAAACTCACGCCGGGCACGTATGCATGTGTGCCCAAGATCCTGAGAGGAGAATGGATAAGGGATTGCAGCATGACCATCCCACCAGGGGATGATTTCTCACTTTCTGTCTCTCTGTCTCTCTGTTTCTCACGAGTGCATACGCCCTATAGCAAAAAACTCTCCAGAAAAACAAAACAAAACAACAACAACAAAAAAAAAAACAAGATAGAGAGTAAAAAACAAAACAAAGAAAAAATTAACAAAACCAAAATTGACAAGCTTGTACTTAAGCAAATGGGGAAAAAAGAAAAAACCCTTTAGTAATATCAGAAAAAGTAGGGACATTACCACCAACTTACAGAAATAAGGATTCTAAGAGAATACTGTGAACTAAATCCTGACAAGATAGAGAAATGGAAGAAAAAGGATTGCACGTGCCCTCTGGCAATTAAAAAAGAATGGAAGAAAAAGAAGAAAACCTAAGAAACCCAGGATAAGTTAATGCTTCACTGGTGAATTATACCAAACACTTAAAATGGAATTAACACCAGTCTTTCTCAAACCTTTCTAAAAAATAGAAGAGGAAACACTTTTAAACTCAATGGTTGAGGACAGCATTATCCTGATACAAAGCCAAAGACATCACAGAAAACTACAGACCAATGTCTCTTATAAACATAGATGCGAAAGTTCTTAATAGGGCCAACTGGTGGCCTGATTGTTAAGCCAGCAGAATCCCACATGGCCAACCACACAATTTAAATCCTGGGCCCAGCAAATTGAAAAACATGCCGGGCGCGTGTGCGTGCATGCCCAAAATTCCAAAAAAGGCAAAAGGATTGCAGTGTGATCATCCTCCAAGAGAATACTTTCTCACTTTCTCTCTCTCTCTCTCTCTCTCTCTCCACTTTTAAGTCTCTCCAATGAGCTCATGTTCCCTCTGGCAAAATTGAAAAACAAAACATAATAAAACCAGAAAATGACAAATGTTCATGAGAATTTAAAAGAATTCTTACTTGCTGGTAGCAATGTAAAATGGTGCAACCACTGTAGGAAACAGTTTGGCAGTTCCTCAGAAAGTTAAATTACAGAGTTACTGAGTGACCCAGCCATTTTTCTCCCCGGTACATACCCCAAAGAATTAAAGACAGGTGTTCAACAAAAACTTGAAGATTAGGGAACCAGCAGTTAGCGTAATGGCTATGTCGCGGGACTCCCACGTAGTCGACCGCGGTTCGTGTCCCGGACCCGGTGGCTTAAAACTCACGCCGGGCGCATGTGCATGCGTGCCCAAGATCCCGAGAGGAGAATGGAGGAGAAGGGATTGCGGCGTGACCATCCCCCCTGGGGGGTGATTTCTCGCTTTCTGTCTCTATGTCTCTCTCTGTCTGTCTGGCGAGCGCACGCGCCCTACAGTGAAAATCTCTCCCAAAAAAAAAAAAAAAAAGAACTTGAAGATTATTCCCAGGAGCACTATTCACAAAGGTCAAAAGATAGAAGTAGCCCAGATACCTCAGTGGATAAATAGAAACAAAATGTAGCATATCCATAGACAAGAATTATTATGTAGTCATAGAAAGGAATAAGTCCTAGAACATTCTATTGTATGATAAATCTTGAAAACATTATGTTAAGTGAATTAAATCCCACCAAAAGGTCACATATTTTGTGATTCTATATAGAAGATCACCAAAATAAGCAAATCCATAGGGTCAAGAAATAGATTAATAGTTGCCAGAAGCTGAGAGGAGGAAAGAATAGTAGTGGCTCTTTGATGGGTATAAGGTTTTCATTTGGGATGATGAAAAATGTTCTGGAAATAGATAGTGATGATGATTATACAACATTTTTAATGTACTAAAGTGCCCTTGAATTGTATATTTTTAAGTGACTAAAATAGTGAGTTTTATAGTATTCTACAATTTTTTAAATGACAGGTTTTAATATGTAAGATACTATATATGTGCAAAAGAATATTGTGTTATCATGTGTCTATAACAAAAGAGACTATATCATAGGAGTCTTACGATATATATTCTTAACATTTTGTACTATTATATAAAGAGCAGAAGGAATATTCTAATCTAGTGCTTATTTAACAATGTAACTTTTAAAAATAACTTTAGTATTTTCTTTTATGCATATCTTTTGATTTTCACTTTGACATTTCTGAGAGAGACACAGTATTATGGTCAGCTAACATAAATGGCCATAGGAAGACCATTTCAACACGTATCTATTCCCTGAATAAGCTCATAAAATGTATGTACCTTACTGAAAATTATCCAATTCTGGATCAAGCAGAATAGATTTACACTGTGAACCAAGATGCCATTTATAATATAAAAAGTTATTATAGAAAATGATAGGTTAAATTTTAGCTAATATTTCACCTAGTTTTAGTATTCTATGAACAAGTTTTAGTAATCTGTGTGCAAGTTTTATGAGAAAATTGTGTTCTCATTTGTCAGCAGCCACCTTTCCTTTTTTTTTTTTTTTTTTTTTTTTTTTTTTATGTTTGCCAGGGAGAAAGAGTCTAGACATTACCCCTAGGGGAAATGACCATGCCACAGTCCTTCCTGCTCCATTCTTCTCTTGGGAGTTTGGGCACACACACACACCCAGTATGTTTTTCAAGCAGCTTGGTCCAAGTGAAATCCAACACTTTAACCACCATACCACCTGCTGGCCCATCAGTACCACCTTTCTTACTAATTATTTCATGATGCCTACACATGTTCTTAAATGAATCTCATAGAAAATATAGTCTCTCTGGGACCAGCAGTTAGCGTAATGGGTATGTCGCTGAACTCCCATGTAGTCGACCACAATTTGAGTCCCAGACCTGGTGGCTTAAACTCACGCCAGGTGTATGTGCATGCGTGCCCAAGATCCCGAGAGGAGAATGGAAGAGAAGGGATTGTGGCGTGGCCAGTACCCGGGAGGGGGGGGTGGTGATTTCTCGCTTTCTATCTCTCTGTCTCTCACTGTCTTTCTAGCGAGCGCACGCACCCTATAGCAAAAACCTCTCCAGAAAAAAAGAAAGAAAGAAAATACAGTCTCTCTGGGCCAGCAGGTGGCGTGAAAGTTAAGGTGCTGCATCCCACATAGCTGATTGTGCAGTTGAGGTCCTGGACTCGGCGACTTGAACATCATACCGAGTGCATGTACATGTACGCCCAAAATCCTAAGAGGAGACAGAAAGAGAAGAGATTGCAGCATGAACATTCCTCCAGGAGATGATT